CGGCCGGGCGCGTCGCGGGGCTGAGGGGGCGGTGCGCCCTGTCGGATGGTCGCGCGCCCGCCATCCAGGACCCGGAGGCATCCCGGACAAACTCGGCGCCGCGCGACCGGCCGGGTCGGATCGGGTCAGGCCTGATCACTTGGCAGATCAGATCGTATCAGCTCGCGTCGCGGCCGCGCGCCTGGATGAGCAGCCGCCAGATCACGTCCTCCGCCAGGGGCCCCTGGGAGCGCGTTATGAACTCGTGGAGGTTGCCGCCCCCCGCAAACTCCATCACTATGTAGAGCCGCCCCTTTTTCAATGCCGATATGTTGATAGTATTGCGGCAGCGGCCCGGCGGGGCGGCGGCGTGGGCGGTTGAGAGGTGGTCCTGTGGGGATAGGGAGCCGGGCTCCGCGGCGCGGGGCCCACCCTCGCCCAGAGCCCCGGCTGAAAGCCCCGCGCGGCGCCGCGCGACACGGAGGCCCGCAAGCTGCGGGCACGGGGGGCAGGCGCCGGCGGAGCCGGGGGCCCAACCCTCCAGAGGGCAGCCCTGCGGCGGCGGCCCCGGCAGCTGCCGCGCACCTTCTCGAGGAACGAGTCCCAGTACTTGATTATGTAATCGCTGTCGAAGCCCGACAGGATCTGGGTCTCTCGGATGCACTCCTCCTGCTCCTGTGGAGTTTGAACAAATGATCCAGGGTTTGACCGTTGACCGTTGACCGGCGACCCCACCAGCACGCCAACCTGGTTGGAAAGGGGCTACAGCTGGCGACGCGCCGCGCCGTCTGCTGCGTGGCCGCCGGCAGTGCCCCTCGAAGGAAACGAGCTTGAGTGGCGGACCCGCCCCTTGCCTGGGAGCCGCGCTATTGCTGAACCGGCGGCCGCTGCCATGCTGCGCCGTCGCGGCCGCGCGTGGCGGCCCGTTCTCGTTGCGTGGGGGCGGCTGCATGCGAGCGCCATGCGGGCGTGGGCGCCACCATGCGGCCATGCGCGGCTGCCCCATGCATGCCGTGGCCCCATGCACGATTTGGCCCATGCCCCCTCTATCTTGCCTTCTTGCTCATGCCATGCAGGTCGATTTCTTTGAGCGCGTAGGACCCGCCGTCCTGCTTGCGGGTCACCTTCCAAACGACGCCGTAGCTGCCGCTGCCGACCTTCTGTTGCAGCACAAAGTCGCCGAGCGTCGAGCGCGCCGCCATGGCGGCGGGCCAGGGGGCGGGCCCCTGCCGACAGGGCGCGGCGCGGTGGCAGTAGCGGCAGAAGCGGCGACTAGCGGCGCGCCCGGCGCGCTGCAGGACAAAGCAAGTGGATACGGCGGGCCTGGCAGCTCAACAGCTGTGCTTCTATGGTCGCGCAAGAGCTTCTGGTGCCAAGTAAAAGTAACACAAGCTCGTGAGCATTAGAAATAATCGCCGAAGTCAAAGATCAAGTGCTTTGGCGCCAGCCGCAGTTCGCGGCCGATGCACACTAATGTTATCCAGTACGTAAAATCGCTTGTCTTGCGGCACCAGTGACAGCGATCTGGGCCGTCCACCCTGTTGTCGACGCGATACTGTAAGTGGTTTTTGTGGAGTTGCACGTGGTAAAACAATCATCACTCGTGCATATGAGCATGTATGATACAGCACGCTCCTGCTGCTGAAGCAGCACGCACATAATCACCCACCAAAAGAGCGCAGCAGTCACTGCAGTCACTGCCGCGGCCGTTTCTTCACTTCAGTGCAGGATGTGGCCGTGCTGGCCGCGTGATAGACCGAAAAGCATTCCGATATGACATGTTGTGGTGATATGGTGTTGTGGGCCCTGAGCAGAAGCGGGTTGTGGGCAGGCTATGGGCTGTTGCACTGGAACTTTGGAAGGCCTGCAGGTGGCCGTGACACGAGCAGGAGCCCGGAGGCTGCTACCTTTGAACAGGCGCCAGGATGGAATAGCGTGCAAAGAGGGTCAGCTTGTTTCTTGGATCAGCAGCCACGATCCCCCCTAACACACACACACACACACACACACACACACA